GTATCATATCTAATACCGGAAAATGGATTCAACCGTTCGTAATTATGGCTCCATTTTTTGAAACAGTAGCGAAAAGATTGAAAAGTTATTGTTCCGCTCAGTATGACATATGCATCCTTTCGTTCTGCTTGCTAAAATATTTTTGAAAACAATTTCATAAAGCACTTAATTCTTTATTCACAAACTACAGTTCCTCCAAATAATTACATCAGTCTTCTGTTTCCGATAAACTTTTTAGAATGCGTGTATCTCTGAAAATTGTTTGGGTTACACGACGTTGCTATAAAAGGTTCATTCGCCTAACAGTTCGACGCCTTCCCCTTCTTCAGAGCCGAATTGATCCGAGTCGATTTTCCCACTCCCGTTCGTTTTCGTGATATGGTCTTTGTAGTCGCACCTAGTTGAGCCCGGTTGAGTGGAGCATGAGAAGATATTTGTTATAGATCATTGTATTATATATCACGATGTCTTTCATTATTGTACTACGTATATTGTGTTATGTCACATCATATAGTATATTATATACTATATTATATTATGCATTATATCACTGACACACTTGACTCATGAACGGTCCGTCCTCACTGGTTGTGCGGGCCAGCATAATCACCATTCATCGGAGATTTGCTGGTTAAGCCTTTGTGGTTTCTTGGAATCCCGCGGTCAGCCTGGCCAAAGTCTGCCCTAGATCGTCACCATCACAGGCAGTCCCAACCCTTGTCGATATGATGGAGATTTGCCACCACACGACTATGATACCAGGGCGGTGGTGGATCCTTTTATTGGTTTATTCTTAGCTAGGCTTCCCAAACGCGGTACTCCTTCTCAGCTTAGTCGACTCTGCCAGCGGATGAATGTGTAGTGGTTATTGATGCAGCCCAATAGGAAACGAGGTGCTGGTTTGACCCCACTCCGATGCTCTCCATTAATCCACGTGGGAATGCCCTATCCCGGCCGTCTCCAAGATTGCTAGGAGATTCGAGTTGACCAGCATTCTACGCCATTACAAAGAAGACGAAATCCTTAAACAGCAGCCGAAACAACACAAGAAATGTTCGAAGACCCTTGTGGATAATGAATGCTATGAAAACGAATCTAATGCAGGAAGTGATGGTACTCACGCGGTAGGTGTCACGGCGAATGACTCAGACTGTAAAATTGAAACCAAGAAAAATTATGCCATTACACCACTACATTATTATATTGTTGCACTATTGTATTGGTATACATTATTGTTTTTATACCGATCACTCTTGCCAAGGATAAATAGTAGTCGGCTTTGAAAAGTATTGTAACGTATCCAAATTGAAGAATAGCTTGACAAAAATTTAACTGTTGTTCTTTCAGAGATGATTTAGTTGCAAAATTAAGCACTGCCTTTTTTTCTTTCACCGTTCGATCTACTAGTTTGAAATTATTTACTTCTTATTTTCTTAAAATTTTAAGTTTCTTTTTGAAATTCAAGTGGGGACTTTCCAAAGAACCTGGTGACGTCACATGTTTAGCAAAGACACTGCGAACAGTGTTACAGTATAATTGTCTAGCAGCTTTGTATCCCACAAAGCGGTCATAATTACGTTATTTCTACCCTTGTGTCATTCTTTAATTAGTTCAAAATATCTGAAAACATTCACCTCATATACTTGTTTCTTATTGAGTAGCGTGCTACAGAATTCTGAACGGCGCCTTTTTCTGAGTTACTACTAATTCTTTCCTAGTTCCATTGTATTACTTAGTTAAAGCAAGAATACAAGTAGTATCGCTAACGTTTTCAGTATAAATAGAAAATTACCACGTCATGACAGGCAGCCCTCATGTGCTGATGACGAGCGTATTAGGCCATGTTGGTATAATAGGAAAATTTCTTAGCTCCACATAACTTTAAACATGTGGTAAAGGTGGAAACTGGTGAAGAAAGTTTTACAATTAGCAGAAATCAAGACCTAACAGTTTTCGATGGCATTCTAAGTATATTGGACTAGTGCATCTTTCTACTCTGTGCATACAAGAGTCATTCGCCTTATGCATTCATTATAATAAGTTCACCTTACAACGTTCCATTTTGCACAGTTTTGCTTATGATTCATAACTTTTCGAAATTCTTCCGTGTGTTATTCAACGGAGACGAAATTGGGAGCGAAAGCGCCAGACGTAGAATACCTCGTTTTCGCGACGAGTTGTGTTGGTTGCAGCACATTTAACTAGTGTGTTCTTACTGTGGTAACACTTTTTCTTTGGAGACTTGAATAGTTCCTTTAATAGTGCTCCCTCATCAGAACCAGATTTTTTAAACCAAAGTGACGCCAGTGATTCTGTTCTTTGCCCTTCTTGTCGTTCCTTTTCTAGGCTTTTTTCTTCACTATGGACGACGACTTCTGGCAGCTGTTTATTTTAGATGGAGATTCGAACAGAAGTGTCAAGATGTCTTGTGTTTAAGTGATGCTGGTGAGGAAAAACGGATGGGTATGTCACGATACCTGTCACGGTACACCTAAAACCCTTCTAGCCATTATGCGAGTGTAAACCATTTGGCTAATGCTTTCACATGCACTAGAGAAATGCGAAGTGTGGTATTTACTACATATGTGTGTATAACATACATGTATCCATACTTATCCTTCGTTAAATCGTTCCTTCGCTCCTTTTTCGATTTCTTTCATTTATTGGATAGAGAGGCAAATTGTTTTGATTCGATCTATTCTCATTACGCTACTAACACGTTTTCGAGGTTTGAAAACTATTTAAAATTCGCCTCATGTGAGCTTTTGCAGCTAATCTTTTGAATAATAGATTCACTCGGCACTTCTAGCCTCACAAGGATTAGCTGATGTTCGGAAGAGTAATAAGGAAAGCGTCAAGCATCTGAGCGTGTTGGCATTTTCATGAATGGCACAAAGCTTTTCAGTTGACCATAAAAAGCTGCATTATTACGCTGCCACATACACAAAGAGGAGGAATAGAGTAATCATTTTTAGATATGCTTGCGTTTATTTTTTATGCAAATTAGAGAAATATGTTCACTCGTTGCTGGATGCGCGTGAAGTTCTCGAGATGTCTACGTTGGTGTCTAGCGTGCCACACCCACATTTATCTAATTCTGTTTAGACGGCGAAGTCAATCACTCCTCTCCTCTAACCACACTGTTGAAATGTAGCAAATCAATGCGATTTTATTTTACCATGAAGTTGTCGTTTATCCTTTTCCTACACTATTTCTGTACAGAATTGGTTCTTTAACATTTATTTATATATTACAGGTAGAACGCTCTGCAAAAATAGCCTTCACAAAATGGAGAGTTTGAAAAAGTTCGATCATATTTGCACGATAACGAAACGCATCAACAAGTAATAATAATGAAGTGCAGGAGTACCTATTCAGTGCTGTTATGAGATCTACAGCAAACTCGCAGCCGCAATGTTACCATTGTCGGATGACGTCACTACGTGACTACTGCACCAAGTTGCTAGTGGAAACAAATGCTACCCGATTTTGGCGACTTGTCTTCAACTAGATTTTAAAAGAACCGTGTCTTTCAAAAACAGGGTTAATGTTCATTCCTGACTCGCGGTTATAAACCTGAATGAAAATTTGCTTTTAGAGCGGAGTAGACGAATAAACTTAGTAAAGGAGATTATGAGCGCACTGTGAATAAGTCGAGAACGTAAAGAACGCGCAGATCACCCATGACTCATTGCTCGACTGTACGGTCTATCATATATTTAACTACATTAATGCAAACCTAAAAGTTCTGATGATGTATAAGCAGGGTTACAGTCAACGTTTATCAAGTGCTGCTTTTGTGAAGGCCGTGCTAGCAGCTCATCGTATGACATAAGTAAGTGGCGGGATCTGGAATTCCGACCAGTGTCAACGATGAAGAGTCGGAGACCCCGGAGCATACGTCGAAATGTTGAAAATTACGTGGATCAGGCTCGTAACGGGTCTTCACAACTGCTAAACAGGAGTTGTCTGCGATTAGGTTTTAGTGAATGCCAAGTGCATGACGTGAAGACCAGCGAGCAAATTGTCAGGCTTCACATCTTTGAGCAAAAAATGTGAAGCTTTTAGTGTCAGTTGAGCGAACATTACTCACTGTGCGCATATGGAATAGAAGAGAAAGAAATACAAATTATTCGGTGATTAATGGAACCACACTCCGTCACGTACAATGCTTGTGTAGGAAAAGGATGAAAAGAGAAGGACTTCTAATAGGAGTTAGATAAAACAAATCGTCCATTAGACTGTATTTTGCTTACCAGCTGTATTGATTATTACACTTCAATGAAATTAGTAAGATTCCAATTATAGGAAAGAAATGAACATTTACGACGTCGCCTTAGATTTGTAGATTTCCCATATCATTCCACTGTAATTCAGAAAAGACTTTTCCACTGGCGTTTCTCATTCCATACTTTTTCAACAGAGTAGTTTCATAAGTACTCTATTCTTAATCCAATTCAAATCGTCTTATGTTCAAATCCATTCACAACTTTTGTTACGACCCGCGGTAACACATGGAGCTTTCTTTTATTGCTGTAATTATTCAAATGTGATTAGTGAAAATTGTTACCGCAGTAAGTATGCATTAATAAATGATTTCCTGAATGGCATGTATTATGTTGAATTGTCTCCAGAAAGTAAAGCATTTTACATTCTTGAAGTCTTATAGCTATTTACACTTGCATTTATTTCCATTCGTAAAGGCTTCTGTATTCAGTCGAAGAATACATGGAAATAACATGGAGTTGGGCACATTATATCAGGTCCATTTATCATATTTTTTCTCGAAGTTTTGGCTTACTGTGCCGTTATTCAACGTCAGAGCGAAACGCTTCCATCTTCCATCATGGTTCATCCTCACACTTTTGTTGTTTACGAGGAATGATTGACATCAGCGCACGTTTCGCTCCATCCTCGTTTTTCAGTTGCACTTCTTAGTTGGTTGGCGTCGTTTTGCGATCTTCATGGGAATAACATACGTATTAATTTTTAGACGCGGAATGTCTGTCGTAAGGGCTGAAATATCGACGTGCTACACACTTTCACAGAGGAACGAATCCATCAATGATAAGTTAGTGCTGTCATTCCTTCCATGAATGATAATATCTTGCCCCCTTTCCAGTACTCGTCCACATATCTGGAAAGAGATTTTGTTTTATTTTTATTGAATGAAGATTAACTATTGATTTCAGTGGTTGTTCGGTGAGCTTTGACAAGTCATTATGTTGGCTGAAAGCAGATTATGGAGCTCAAGTGGAACGATTGTGCCCTTTTACCTATTGCCCTACAGTACTAGGATGTGAACAAGTAGCAAGTAAGCTATTATGTATATGATAAAGCCCGACTTTTATGGTTAATACTTTCCTATTAACAGAAGCATAAGTTTTTTAACAATATACTTCGTGCCTTCTTGACGAACTTACGAATCCAACAATTTTATATGAACGACTCTTCTATTTTCTATGTTACATTTGTGAGCTGTCCACCATGATATTCGAATGTCTCTACTGCCCTCGGTTTCGGTCTTAGATTTTGAATGCTCGATTGTTGTGTTTCGTTTGGAGAGGTTTTGAATATGAATGTTGTCAAAACCGGAAACCGGATACCTGACAAAAGGCGAACTGCAGCAAGTCGCTGAGTATTTAGAGCTATTTTTTTCCTTATTGCACAGTGCTATAGATCTTTTTTTGTAAAATCAGTTCAATTACCCGAGTTCAAGTATTCGTAAACTGCTAGGAATGACAAACTTGATCTGTCTTCGAGCACGAGTGTGATTATGTGCGCATGAGAATATGTATGAACCATGTCTACTGGGGCGTTAAGACTTTGTTTCTTTTAATTTCTATAACATTCCAGATGTATAGTTTTCAAGATGGTATGCAGGCGTTATGTGTTCAAGATGTTGTAACCATAAGTGTCTATCACGTATACTTAACTGATAGGTAGTTAGTCGACCATTTGTTTTGAATTTTAGCAGTTGTGAGTCGTGAAATCCGGTCACAGTCATTTTCGAGCTGCTCTTAGTCGCTGACGAGCTTGTTATGGAAATACCTCTTGGTTGAATGAAACAAACAATGAATGAAAAGCAGAATATGCTTTGTGAAATAGAGCTTTCTTAAGCTCGTAACAGAAATTTTTTGACGAAGAATTTTTGCAATGTGAAGACGGGCATTATCATGTGAAAGAGAACTTAGTTGCACTTCGGACGTCTTGTCTGCATGATGTTGTTCAGCTTCTGAAGTATCACGTAATGGGTTTTTCACCATAAATGCAGCTTATTCTTGGAAGTACGGTTGACATAGACAATCCACCTTCTTTTATCTGAAGTCTCTACAACATAAACTCTAGCATCCTTACTATTCTGGATGAAAAGGAAACCTAGAATGACATTTCACACCTAAACACGTACTTGAGTATGCACTCTAGTCGACATCAGCCAGTAATTAATAAACTTTTGTGTAGTCGTAAATGAGCTCTGACGACGGAAAAAATTCGATAAATATATCGGATATTAGTGTTCGACTAACCTAAAGGAAACTTATTAATTACGATCAACTGAAACAGATCCAATGTCTTGGTGGTACATATGAGCAACAGAAGAACGTCTTATTTCAAAAAATCAGAAGCGAGGTGTTATAAACGGTCTGAGCGCCTATTACTAGAGAATTTTCGATGTTCATGCAGTGTTCTGAGCTATCTCTATCACGGTGTTATATGGTGATGACCTCATCGTTTGCTTAGCAGAACAGATGTTCCTTCACCGTTAAGGTCGGTATGGATTGGAAAACGTTGAATGAGACGTTTTACTCCTAGGAAGACCATAGTTTCGGCGTAATCGTAATGTGATAATTTTTAAGCAAATTCCTTTTGCTAGTACTGCTATTCCATATAAATCTCTTTCAGACTAAGTACGTTCATTTTTCTAAGTAAACTTAAGAATTTTCTAAAGAGACGGGAAATTATTCCATGCTTGTTAATATAAATGTTAATATAATATTTTAGACGCAGTCGGCAAACAAACTCACCAGAACAAAATTATTTATGGTAATGTTAAACGTTACACTGAATATTCATGCTGTAATAGCGTTATATTTTTTCAAGAATACTGTCGCAGTCTTTATTTATTAACTCTGATCACTTCGCTGTTTCACATAAAATTTAGAAAGCCGTTCAGATAGCCATATGGTTACACGAGTATGCGGTTTAACGGGAGAATGGCAAGATTCCAATTACAGTCAATGTATAACCGTTGTTGATCAATTTCCACATTGCATTCAAGGATTTTGTCGAGTGGTAGGATTTTATTTCAAGTAAAAACTTATGTTCTGTTTTGCTTGTTATGTGGGGAGAAAACACGATGATGTGAAGCGGCGCTTACGAGTAGTGCGATCCCAAGAATGTTTGCAAGTAATGAAACGTGCTCACAAAGCAACGACAACTTTGTTTTCCATGTGTTTTTCACCGGATGTTTTCTTACTGCCAGTGTTCAGCCTGCTTTGGCAGGCCTGAAATTGTCTATTGTTGCCAGCACCCATTTCGTGAGAGATTTTGTTTTGTTCGCCGTCTGGGCCGAATTTCTCTCCACTTCACTACGTAATTTAACCTCTGAAGATCTCCTAACAAAAAAAGCGAAAGATAAAAAAATGACTTTCCGGCACGAGAACAAGAGCCGGTGATCCTGTAGCATATTTTTCGGCTTAGCTCACTATTTCGTTGATATTTTCCATTTAATTTGTCCTTAGATGGACCTGTTTGCTGATGTCTTTTTGATAATGGCATTGTTTTAGCTTTGTCTGTTAGTGGACGAAAACGGTCCATAAAAACTTTGCCGCATCTTTAGCACTTAAGCTACCTCATAACGTCTATAGAAGTCATATTGAGCGGAAATGGTGACAGCCTTCGATTCTATATCTCCATATTACAACTAAAAACTTTATTGATTGCAGTAGAAACAATTACATTCCACAAATCTTTGCCCTAAAGTTTTCTTGTTTAACGTGATGACATTCTGACTTTCTGGAGACTATAACTTTACGTTTCTTCATTAAATTGAATTTCACCGCTTCAAAGCAGGTATTTCGAACATCAAAATAAATGAAGAAGCGAAATTCTGCTAGAAGTCTTAAGAACCTGAATATTGTCTCCAATTTTTTGTATGATTTAGCTATAAACGTGTTTCAGTCTGAAAAGTTACTTTTTAAGAGTCATGTTCGCGATTAGAGCTATAGAAGAAAGTTCGTTCTATAATGCTATGTTGTTTTGAACTTTTTAAATGATTTAGTGATCTAGAACTATTGCCAAATATCGAGAAACCAACACCATTTCGAAAGGGTTAAAGACCTTTAGGTCAAGCAGCAGCACATTCGCTTTCCAATAACATTATTGCTGCGTTGGTTTTCTCTCATTCTCATTTCGGCTCCTTCATTTCATTGTAATCTTATTTTGATAGATGTACGAGCGATGCATACGTAATACGTACTTTAAAATGAAATAAGCAGTTGGTGTTGAAATGAATATATCTATTGAGGCCATTCGGTACAAAAAATTCCTATCTCCATTAACATTTATTAAAGTAGAGTCACATCTGGGATTGAAAAAGAGCCTAGGACTACACTTACATGTTAAAGTACCTAACTAAGGAATCTTGCTCAGTGTCCCGATCTTCTGCGGGATCTCGTGATTTCGGTATCATTGACGCTTTCCGTTGTCTCAGTCGCTCTACTAGTTGCTGCCATTCTTTTATTCTCCGTGTTCGACTCCATACAGGTCAGTTATTTTTAGTATGCTTATGAAGGAAACAGAAGAAAGTAATCCAATAGAAGATTTTTCACTGATTCGTTATAAAGGAACCATGACTCTATTTGGATTGACTCCCTTTCATTGAAGTGTGAAAGTGTTGTTCCGTCTTCCGGTTGCTTAAAATATGTTAATGGTGTTGTATTTTTTCTGCCTTTAACAATAATATAAGAATGGGGCGTGTGGCGCAGTGGTCGGAGGCGCCGTGCAACGCGGACGTGGAATCGATCCCTGCTGCCGTGGCTCAGCAAGTCTTTCATCCCTCCGGAGTCGGCAAATTGTACCAGACTTGTCTGAGAGAATAGCAGCACTAGCTTGATACATCGGTAGGCCACCGCGAGTGGTTGTAAAGGCCAGATATGCATTCAATCAGCACCAAACGATGCTTAATGAAGTCTAATGCATGGCGCATCCCTAAAGGATTGATCAATGTCGAGAGCTTTATCATTTTATCCTTTTAACAATATATGCACTTTTAGTGTTTACTAATCGTATGTGCTTTATAGTGTCGTCGCTTGTCAATTCATAAAAGCCTTGCTACTGCTTTCGTCTTTCGCTTCGCTGTGCTTGCAATTTGGACCATCGTTCAATCGACAAATCTCTTTCAGGATTGTTCTACGTTTAATCCACAACCTCTCTGGAACCTAGTAAGAGACTCAGATAATCGTCATTGTTGTTGTTTTTCTTATATACACCTGTTTTTCTTTTAATTCTGATCTTTAAGGAATGGATATGTAAAACGATCCTCTGGTTTGTGATATACTTTCAGGTACGTAAAACAAGAATAAGCTAACTTTGTTCTTTCTTCCTTTTCTATTCCTGTTGAATGAAATGTGCTAATTTTTTTCCGAGTAAATCTGAATTCTATTCTGTGGTTTTCGTTCACATGAATTAAAAGTCTGATGATTAGGTGGCCTCCGTGATGTGGATGTTGATCGAGGGCGCTTACTTGTATAGTCGATTCACTATTTTTGCCATGCGTCATAATGATGCTCCTTGGTCTCTATACACATTGTGTGGATGGGGTGAGTACGCTGTATTAGTAGGAGTTCATACTTCATTTTCCAGAAATAATAGAAACTAATTAAACTAATAGATATAATTAATAAGTTGGAATGGTTACAAAAATAGTATGAGAGTGGACTTTATTATGTACAATCGTGGCCATTTTGCGTCAACCTATTAATACGATACTATAAGAATTATGTTGAAAGAATTCATATTTGGGCTCATTTGACTGTGGACCATTTATAACAGCCTCACTAGTTCTACTTTTCTCCATTAATGTCGTCTATGGAAATAGATAGCAACTCATCGTTTTAGCTCCTTAAAATCAGAAAAAGACAAGTCGAAAGAGAAGGGCTAAACAGGAAAGAAAAACGTTGGTAAGAAAGACCTGCAATATTTATTCCTTTCGGTGAAGGAAGCGAGATATGAAGTGGGAATATTCATGGAAATTTAGATGCCGTTGATAAATGGAGTGTTGAGGCGATTTCGAAGGGGAGCTTTGCTTTTTCTCGTTGTCCAATGTTTTGGAATATTTGTCTTGCATTATGAAAACGTTGGAAGGTAAAATCGAAAAACCAGTAGTAATGGTTAACAAGTACCTTCATTTTTGCGACATTTTTCTCAATAAAATGTTATCCACAAAATGTGGCACATTCATTCGATTATACATTACAAAAGTAGTCACTTGCTTAACTACTATTCTGTTAGTAGTCGAGCGACTCGAGCAGGGTTTCTTCATTCATTACGGCCCTACCTCAGAATTCGTTCGCGTTACGTGCTTGACGAAGGTAAAGAAGGAGAACCAAAACTTACCCGTAATTTTTTGTGCTTTTAACTTGACGATACGAAAAGTCTCACGCCGCTTTTCCATTGCGGAATCCGAACTACTTCTCTGCTTTTTCTGCTCATCTGACTTTTCATCAAAGCAATGTGTAGGGGATGCAATCTTTGAACATCTAACTGTTTCCATACGCGTATGCGAGTATGATTACATTTATGCAAAAGATGCAATTCAGTCTGATCAGTAGAGACCAGCTCTATTCTCGGAATCCGTTAGCATCTTAGAGCCAGGCATCAGTGCGCTTTTGATCAGAGTTTAACACGTTATGCTGTACCTGCCACTTTGTCAAAACTTCGCGACCAATAGAATGAGAATCCAACTCATGAGCAGATCTCCTAAAAAAATGAACTAAAACTCATCTCGCATCACACTTTAACAGATTCTAGGTGTTCCACTGATTGTTGTTATATTTTGGACAATTGTGCATGAGTACAAGTCGAGGCAGCAGAACTCGTTTTGTTGGGTACCGTATGCGCAAGGAAGTCATCTATGGATACTAGCTGGAACTATGGGATTCGCTCTTATTGTAAGTACTCAGTATTTGTTTACGTCGTATAGCCCGTAACTAGAAGACGTACATGATTGTTTTAGTGCATCTGAATACTGTTTACTTCTCTCAAGTCTGATCTGTAGCGATCTTACTCAATTTGGCTAAATACGTGCTCTTCATTTTGAGCAATAAGTCGTTGGATGACGTCTTATTTATTTTCATAACCTTAACACAATTTAAACGTAATAATACAAGGCAATGGCTAGTTCTTAGATAATCCATTAAATATAAAGTGAGTAAATTCTCGTTGAGGAAACCGTTATGGTTGAGACGAAATTCCTTAGTCCGTATTCAGATGAACTTTATTTTTCTGCTGGGTATTGTGATCATTCTCGTGCAAAAGCTACGGACAGAGAACTCTGCAGAATCAAAGAAAATTTGGTATATTGGTTTGGCTTTCCTTATGGTAATACGAATGTTTTCGAGAGTTTAATTCTGATCTATTAAGGCGTACTATCAAAGCGACAATGTTATTAGTTCCTCTACTTGGTATTTCAAACATACCTCTGTTTTATGAACCGGAAAGACCAAGTGATGTTTACATGCTCGGTTCGGCTATTCTTCAACATTCACAGGTAGGAAAACCAATTGTTCTAAGCAAAAAAAAAGTGGCTCAAACATTCCTAGCTGCGAAGTATTATGTTTCTTATGTCATTCCTTCCTTATATGTAAGAGTTTTTACGCAGTTATAACCGCAGTGACCTTTAATTCTACAAAAATTACTTTAATGTCATCGTAGTACGCGTAGTATTTTTTTCTTGTTTCTTTTAAGGACACATTCTAGACTTGTTGATGCTGAATACACTAGAATGAAAAAACCATGTCAAACGTAATTATGTGATTAAGAAGGCAATAAAAAGAAAGTCGGTGCGTAAACTCAGAAAATACTTCAAGGAGGGTAGGAATTGGTTACACATAATCCCAAGATTACCCTCAAGAGTTTATTTTGATGGACACTTGCAAGTGCAGCAATGAATTCACAGGTGAATGAATCGAGAGGTTCTCCTTTTTACGTTTCCTTCCGCCATATCAAAAAAGCACGTAGTTACATCTTATTTCATGCTCTAAAATTCGCGGTAACTTATAAAATGATTGGAAAGCACTAGAAGAAATTTTAAACGAAATTGATAGCCGTATATTTTTTTTTACACTTCTGTGTTTCATGTGTAAAGTAGTAAGTCAAGTGAGTTCCTCCAGATTCTAGAGAGCTTTTTTTGCAGGGTATTTTCATTGCCGTGCTGTACTGTTTCTTGAATAGTGAGATTCAAAATGCTGTTAAACGGCAACTTTCCAAGGTTCCTATAGAGTTTTTTAAGTGAGTTTTGCTTTACTTTCTAAGCAATCTGTTCATTGAATTTCATGTGATCGGTAGTGAATTTGAAGGCCAAGACAGCGATTCGAAACGGAAAGAACATATGTGCCAGAAAACCGAAACATGACGAAGCATGGTATGCCGATGGAAGAATTGGAATGCGTCAAAGGAAATCCTCAGGAATCAACTGTTAATGAAGTGTGCAAGATTTTTACAATTTAAATAACTGAAAGCCACGAAGCGATGTTTAAAAGTCACGGAAGTTTGTATTCCATTTGTCTTTCTGCTGAAGGTTTTATTTTACAACAAGCGTCAGATCATTTACAATTTTCGTGCTCTGAGGTAACAGATAACGAAAGAGGTCGGTTTTCGAAATGCAAGCACCGGAGTTTCTCTCACCAAATAGCTGTTATTTCTTTCATATTTATTTGTTACTAAAGATTTTTGTTAGATTAACAAAATTCTTTTAGCGATATCATTTCATTTGGGCAATTCTCTGATTAATCCATTCGTAGAAACGGGATGTGAACGCTTCGTCAATATTGGCTCTTGAAGATCCATGCTTATGCACATTCGTTTTACATTTTCAGATGGTCCCAAACGCACAAATCTTTGCTTTATCGACATCACCTGTCACACTTTCATCTGATAACACTCAATGATGTGTACCAAGAAGAGTTTGCCGACCAACTGCCTTCCTTTACTAAATATGGTATTTTTCTTGCAAAATCATACATTAATCATATTTCTTGTTTTATAAGTCTTTTAATGTGTGTCATATACGTGAAGAGTTTAAGTCGCACCAGTGTGACGTTTTCGGTAGCATTTGAACGGGTATCGGCCTTGCTAAAACGATGTCTCACTAATTATTGGTATTTGCTCGCACTTTGTTTCTTATGATTTTCACTCAACGCAGAAATCATTAAGGTGAAGCTTTAACACTTGTCAATTACTTCATGACGTCTTGCTATCGTACTGATTTAACTGTTTCTGTGCTAGTCCATTTGTGATCTCTTTCTCACCGAAATTCTTACATTGAAACGTATAAAATTATAACATGGTTTTTTCACATATCATTTGTATGACAACACATAATTCATTCTTTGAATAGAACTGGCAATTTGGCATGAACGAACGCGAAAAATTATCTCAAGGCCAATATGCATTTCGTGAACATATTGAAATACGCGATAAATCATTTAAAAAGAAGGCAATGTTAACAATGTTTTGAAGAACTGCAGATCGTGAAAGGTACAGCGAAAATACGTTCTTTCTCTTTGAAGAAATGTCTGAAGGATCACAGTTGATTGTATTTGGATGTGGCAAACAACTGACAAGGTGATTCTTGTGTTTGTGTCGGTTGCTCATGCATTGGGAAATTGCAGTTTGACGTACAACCATAACGATAACTGGTGTCGAAGCAGTAGTTGGTAGAAGCACAATGATCGTATCGAATCTTTTCCTGAAACCACGAAATTTAACATCTCCTCGCTTAGAACATATCCAATCCACACATATAGTTTTTTTTAAACTTAATTCAAATAAGGAACACGAAATGACTTGGACCTCATGTGGAAGGAAAATATTCTTTGAAGCAGAGTGAATTGGTTAGAACATGTCCTAGTGAACCGTTGACTTCGATGAAAACATAAAAAGTCTTATGAGAGATTTTCTGCACCGAGAGTATAACTGAACTTTTTGATGACAGTATAGAACTGGTATAGTAAGAACTGGAAGGGTCACGTTGCAATCTCCTATATAGTTCCTTTTAATATTTACTATTTCTAAGAGTTTTCACACATGCGGTTCTTTCGGTGGAAAATTACCAACAAACTGAAATAATTACGAAACTGCCAAGTTTCAATTAGAACTTTCGTTTCAAAGACTGCAGTTTTCTACTTTCAATCAAATGAATGAGAACTTCCATTCTCATTTCTCTTCATTTTTTTTTGTTCCGCCCAATCTCACAACTTTTAAGCTCTTTGCTACCATGTGTTGGAAATTCTCGCAAAGTTAAGTAAACTACGGGATTTTCGCCAGTTAGAATAAGATAGTGTTAGAGGTACCACTTTTTTGGAGGGATTCAGGTCATTATTGGAGTCTTGTAACAAAATATTTTTAATAACCAAAAAATGCCCTTTCTTTTAACCACCTTTTCCCTCAACTCCTTCCGTCTCCACTTCGCTCGTCGATTCTGGAACCATACCTGCAACGAACACCGTTATTAACTCAGCAAAGATATAAATCGTGCAGTTTTCTTAGACTAAATGAGTTTTGTTAGCTATTCTTATTTACTGCTTACTAGAATCTTTTAGATTAGGGTATTATGCGAAATGCAACCATAACGATGCTGAGATATTTGCAAAACCCCAGATCGGAGGTGTCTGCAGTTAAGACCAAACGCGCTGTCAGACCTTACGGGGGTTAGCGCTTTCACCACCACTTCATGCAGGTCCCTCGCTTCTCCATTCTCTTAGCTAGTCCTCTATCTGTCAATGCCATTAGCAATCAGCCGTCAACAGAATTAATCCAGGGTGCCCAAATCAGCCGTGAACCCGATTAACAATCGGAAATCATAATCAATTACAGCCTCTGCTTAATTGGATTCATTGTCGATTTGGGCTCCCCAGATCAATTCCGTTAGCGGGTGATTGCTGATGGCCCTGGTAGACAGAAAACCAGTTCAGAGAAATGCGAAACGAAGGATTCGCACGGTGTGGTGGTGAATGCGTTAGCCTCTGCAAAGGGTAACAACCTTTGCGATCACGACAGCAGACGCTTCGGCTCGGATTTTTGAAAATACCTCAGCATCATTGCAAATAACTTGTTTTGGAGAAAAATCCATTGTGTGAGACTATTCTAGCTAAAAAGAAGACAAAGACACAATAATATTCTAGAATAAATATAGGAAAAAATCATAGATTTAAGTTCAACACTGCAAAAAACCACTCGAAGTTTTCTTCACAGACCAGCTATCAAAATTTGATGAAAATGCCATTCCGTCATTCGGTGAGCAACCAAGAGAGTAGAAGCACGTTTTGGAAGACATCAAACGTTTGAGGAAACCGAATGGACGCGAGCAGCACCCCATGTTTGTTTCAAGAAACTTTTAGTGGTTTTGGCGAGAATATAGCACCAGAAACCAGTTACGACCTAGCTACGGCTAAGAAATAGTGCAAGTTGTGTCGTTTTCTTGTTCAGCAATCGCGAGGTTTTCAAACAGCATACATTTACTTCCATAGAAAAACACAATCCAATACAACGCTAGCTGACGTTTCGGCAGTATCGCCTTCTTCAGAGCCTGGAAGGGTATACTGATATACAATCTGCTAGGCCAAACGCTTCAATAACACTTACGAAAAGACGAAAAACTCTTTGGTAATTACACGATCAACAGCTTCTCGAAAAACCGACCGCGTTTTCGTGACTTCCAATGAGGAAGTTTAGAACAGCTGATTATAGTCGCATGTGGTTGACGACTTCACCATCCCACATCAAAAATCGATGCGAACATACGGGATCAGGTCGCGTATAACCTCCGGGCATTCGCCCCTGCTATTCATTGTAGGGCTTTTGGCATTTATCCAAAAAGCCTCAAGAAGATTTCGCGCTGGTGTTTTAGTCTCCTGTGCAAGGATATTGACTTTTACTTCAAAATCGTCTCCGCTGTGCTTTTGTATCCTATGCGCTCCTAGTGGGGTGCCTCGTCTTAGTTTTCGTTTGCCATCTAGGTGTTTTTTATACGGATACACAAAGGTCTGGCCGTTTCGCCAATATATTCATCTCCGCAATTATTACAAGAGATCAGGTATATCGTACCTGAACTCATGCAATCACCGTCCCTGCCGTAAGGGCAAATTGCGCAATTTGTTGTTTCACATAGACGGTCATACAGGCGGTTAGGAACTAATTGACGACGTAGAGGATCCAGTGATATTTTAACTATTGCTACCGATTCCTTTAGACCTGCCCTTTTTAGGCGTCGTTTAATAGCTGCGCTTACTTCAACGCTTATGAAAGGCAACATAAACGGGAATTTCTTTTGGCCAAGTGTTTCGCGTGGGCGCGTCGTTCTCCTTGTAAACTTATCTCGTGGGGTTACTATTTCGTAGCCATTGGAGATGGCTAATTGCAGAGCCAAGTCGCGCGATTCTTCCTTTAGTTCCCTGGTTGTGCACACAGAGGTGGCTGTTCGAAACATGTTTCTCACAATCGCCCTCTTTGTGTGTGAAGGGTGGGAAGAAAGGAAATGAACAAGGATGTTCTTGTTACTTGGCTTTCGATACCACTTTGTCAGGTAACCGCTACTTGATAGGTTTATTTGGACGTCCAAAAACGGAAGCCAGTTTTCTCTCGGTTTCTCCCGGGTGAACTTTATGTACTCGGACTGCTCGTCCAATAATTCAAAGCATTTGTCCATCTCCTCCTGCGTAGAGAAGACGACAAAACAATCATCTACATATCTGCAGTAAAGTNAACATAAACGGGAATTTCTTTTGGCCAAGTGTTTCGCGTGGGCGCGTCGTTCTCCTTGTAAACTTATCTCGTGGGGTTACTATTTCGTAGCCATTGGAGATGGCTAATTGCAGAGCCAAGTCGCGCGATTCTTCCTTTAGTTCCCTGGTTGTGCACACAGAGGTGGCTGTTCGAAACATGTTTCTCACAATCGCCCTCTTTGTGTGTGAAGGGTGGGAAGAAAGGAAATGAACAAGGATGTTCTTGTTACTTGGCTTTCGATACCACTTTGTCAGGTAACCGCTACTTGATAGGTTTATTTGGACGTCCAAAAACGGAAGCCAGTTTTCTCTCGGTTTCTCCCGGGTGAACTTTATGTACTCGGACTGCTCGTCCAATAATTCAAAGCATTTGTCCATCTCCTCCTGCGTAGAGAAGACGACAAAACAATCATCTACATATCTGCAGTAGAGTGGTGGCCGGAGATCGAGAACAGGGGCTTCTATCTTAGACATAAACACAATGGCAAGGCTTGGCGCCAATCGCTGTCCCATTGCCAACCTCCTTATTTGCGCGAAATATTTCTCAGACCATCTGAAAATCGAGCAGTTTAGCCACTCGTTTGAGAGAGCCATTAGCTGCTGGATGAACAAGCCATGCATATTTATTCTTCCTTCATGTTCAACAAGAAGTTCGAAGTTGGCTTGCATTGCGGAGTCATTCGACACGTTGGTGTACAGTGCGGTAACGTCGAAAGACTCCATCAC